TTTTTTTAAATCTGCTCTGAGTATTTGACAATCACATAAACAATAAACGAATATCAAATAAATAGTCAAAACACAAATTCTTAACATTGAAATAAATAATTTTCATAGCTTAATTGAAACAAAAATATTGTTGAGATAATTAGTATAAAAATAAAAGTTGGTACTTTTTCATGAAAGTAAATTAATAAGAACCGTAGTAATTAAAAAATGAAAATGCATTAGAATAATAAATAGATACGTCTATTTAATTTTATTTTGAAGTTAATTCAAAACATTTGCCTATCAAATAGGAAACTGTTTAAATTTTTTGTTTTTTAGCAATATGGCTTGCATCAGCTGCGAGTGGTAGATGAGCATTAGACTCAATGTCCTGACAATCCATGGTTAATTGACACACGCTTATCAGAATCTTTAAATCATAATTACTTAAATAGCTGAGAATTTCATCGATACAAATGGAAGGCAAAGACGGAAAAACTCGGTGAAACGAATAATCAGTATCGTCATCTAATATTTTTTTTCTCTCTAAGCATTTTTTAATACGGGAACTTAATAGTCCGCCATAAATAGGAAAACTTTCAACAAAAACCGGAATTTGTAATTGTTGAATTACATTGTTGTTCTTCAAGACATACTTAGCAATACGATGAGGACATTTTTTTAAAATTTGATAAACATTAATGTTAGTATTTTCAAGCACATACTGCTTCATCGATTCTACTTCTTCTTGACACATTTCTTTTGTTTTTTCAATTTTTGATAATTCATTATTCTCAGTTTTGACACTAGAAATCCAACTATATTTATTTTCGTACATATAGATGCTTCGTAGATTTTCCGGAGAAACAAATGAATTAATTAATTGGAGTTTCGCAACATGTTCTAAATAAATATGCACATTTTTAATATAATCACGAGTGTAAACCTTGATCAATCTAGACTCACTCGACGGATCTAATGAAACTTCACATTTTTCACAAAAAGAAACCATAGAGTTTATCAAATAGTCCAAAGCTGTTTTCTTATTGTAATCCATTATATTAATATCTGCGCCAAGCTTTAATAGTTTTGAAAAAGCTTTATCTAGGTGCTGAGCAGCACAATGTAAAGCTGTTCTTCCCGATCTATCAACTCTGGCATCTAAATCAGTAGCATATTTTGCGAGAATTTCAAAATGATTATGATTGCTATATGAAGCTGCGATTGTCAATGGTGTCATACCGTTCTCATTAACACAATTAATATTTGCTCCGAATTTGAGTAATATTTCGAGAATTGGTAGTGGGCCAGATCTTTCTAAATTATAAAGCAATGGTGTCATCAATTTGATATCTGCTAAATTAGGATTTGCACCATGGAGTAATAAAATTTCAACAGCTGGAAAGCATGAACGTTGAACAGCCAAAGAAAGTGGAGTTGCACCATCAATATCTGGAATAAAATTACTCTTATAATTAAAAATATTCAAAGTTTAAAAAATTATTGAAGCAAATAAAAAATTATTTACCTTGAAGGTCTAAATTTTTGAATTCCTTATGTTTTAAAATAATTTCTAGCAATTTAATTCCTCTAGACTCAACTGCTGCATGAAGCAATGTTTGCTTTTTACAATTTATGTAACATTCATCATCTAGTTTAGCAGCTGGTAACAGTAATTCAACCATCTCTAAACGTTCTCTAAAAATTGCATGTTGAAGAGGAGTATTACCGTGATTATCACGACTTTCCGCATCAGCTCCTGCTTTTAGTAATAAACAAGTAAGTTCTTTAATGTAATGATAATATTGCTCGTTATAATTATAGCGTATAACATAATGCAAAGCCGTCGAATCGTATTGATCTTTGTTATTAACATCTATGCCAAGATCTATAAAGGTTTTTAAAATTTCAAACCATTCGTTAGAATGACAAGTACAATTATCATCTAAATTTTTTTTTGCAATTACATAGTCGTCATCTGAGTAATCAGAAAATTTTATGTGGGAACACAATTTATCCTCATTGAAGTTTAAATTATGGATCACGTAATATAGTACCGTGTATCCCGATGAATTTTTAAAATGTATATCAGCCTTATTTCTTATCAACGTTTTAACAATATCAGCTTTCTTAGATCCACATGCTGTCATTAAAAGAGAATCACCGCGCGCATTTAAAATGTTCGGATCCGCACCGTATGTCAGTAAATCTTCAATAATCGTACAATAACCTTGATCTGCAGCTTTGTGGATAAATGCTTCATCATTTATTCTTTCGCGATCAATTTTAAATCCGGCATTGACTAGAGTTGATACAATTCTTCTGTACTTCCCTTCCCATCCCATAACCGCAGCAGTTAACAATTGAAGATTTCTACTATCTGTGATATCATAATTTTTTTCATCAATAATCTTCGAAACCGTCCTCTCATATCCATTTTCAACGGCCACGTGAAGCATTAACGTACCATCACAGTATTTTAAATTTGCTTTGGCTCCTTTGTTAACTAACATGTTGAAAATCTTTTCTTCTCCAATTTCTGCAGCTACTTCAATCGGCTGCAATTTATTTTTTTCGTTGAGAGCAGGCTGGGGATCTACTTCTAATAACAGCTCAATTATTTCTTTATTCCCAACTTCGACAGCCAAATAGAGTGGGGTCCTGCCGTTAGATGTTTTCGCTCTTGTTTTAGCACCTTTACTCAATAGTTTTTCAACCATCTTCAAGTCCCGATTTTCAACTGCGAAGTGAAGCGGCGATTTGCATGCTTGATTTGATAATCTATTCGTTTTCACTCCGTAATCTAACAAAAGGTTTGTTATAGCTCTATTTTTTTGAATAGCCTGGCGAAGCAGATGATATCCATCATCCCATCCTAAAGTACAACATCCACTTTCTTCATCTCTTTCTTTGAGTAGGCCAATCAATTCTTTTACACGATTTTCATTGTGTTCATTAATTGCAATTTCTAATTCAATCTTTAGTGGATCTTTGGGAGAGGGTGGGAAACTAACGATTGCAGATGATGCCATGATCGGAATTCTTTTTATTTATATTCCTGTAACAAAATATCATTATTATCATTTAGAATAAATACATATATTCATAAATTAAATTTATAAGTTTATACGCTGCACTTGACTCCAATGAAGGGTAATGTGAAAAAAAAAGTTTTAATTAAACTTTAATAGCATTTGTGCTTTTGATAGACTCATATTTTGTAATTTAATATAAAAAGTATGATACTGAAGTTAACTGACAGCTGTTAATTTTTTTAATTCTTACAATAAATCAATTACAATAAAGAAAAATGCTTTAAAAAATTTCCACTTATAATTTTTAAACATTTTCATGTCTAAAATTTTTTCCATAATAATTTCATTGCTATAGAATTCTAAAATAATCCATTATTAAACAAAATGATTTCCTAATGTTTAAGTCCATAAGCGATACGATTTAAAATGATTAGAAAATGAATTATTTTTTATTATATCAAAACATTTTGTTTAATCAGGGATTTCGAATATCAATCAACTTCAGTGTCTTATAGAAAGTTTGTTATGTACACATTAATGTAATGATAAATACTTACTTTTAAAGAAATGTCAACTATTTTAAAATAAAATATATTTTTATTGAAGCTGTACTATCATCATGAGAACAGTTAAATATTTATTAAATAAACATTAAACAGCAATATCAACGACTGACAATTTTGTACAAAATCGCTCGAGTAAAAAAATGAATAAATCACATTTATTGTTTTGTTTCTGCTTTCTTTGCAAAGTCGCGCAAGTTCGATAGTATCGTTACTAGATACTAGTAAAAATCTATACTATCAAAATTTAGTAAAAATTTGTAAATTATAAAAAAAAATTATATTTTTACTAGGTCAATTTACAATTCAGAATTAAATGAAAACAATATCATACATTACTTAATGAATTACTAAAATTTAATATGCGTGCGCAAGCGCCCACCGAATATAGAGTTTGCATATATTTTCATGCGTGCTTATGATATATTCGACCGATCACATCATAAATAAATTGATGCCAAATAAATTTCATCTAAATTTTATGTTGGGATTATTAATTTTATTTTAGTTTCTACTTTTTTTAATAATTGACCTGAATCATTTGAGTAGTTCGTTATTTTTTCTAAAATCATTTGATAGTTGAGCTTTTATTTTAAATGTTGATTTAGTTAAAGTGAATGAAGTCTAATTTTAATTCTGATAGTAAAAAGATAATTTATGAAACGGAAATTAGCAAACATCTGCAATTTTTTTGATTTTTACAACAAATAAATTGCTACTAAGAAAACATTTTTAAAAAAATTACATCAGTAATTTTTTGAACTATTAAAAAAGAATTTTTTAGCAAATTTTTTTTATAATTATTTATTTGTTGATAAAAATCCGAAAAGTTTTCATTCATCAAGATTTTTTAATTTCAAATAATTAAGAGTTTTTTTTTAATTAAACTACATAAATACGAGGATTAATAAATGAAAGCTTTCAATTGTATTATTTTATTGTTCTTAATGATATATTTTAATAAAAAACTTATAAAGAATGATACTAAATTATTTTTAATAATTTATTAATATACTCATTAATTGAGTACAAATTTTATCTTCCAAACGAGTACTTCACAGTTACAACTGACAACTAACACATAAATAAAATAACTAATAAATATGCCAAAAATGTTAATTTTTAAACTTAAAAATTATTAAAGTAGTTGAAGTATTTTCAATTTTATTGGAAACATTTCTTGATTATATTATTTTAATTAGATATAAACTAGTAAGATTAGATAAAAAATGAAGAGTAACAAATGTAATAACTAAAATTTAAAATATCTTTATCATGCTACTGAGATCAATAGACATGATAGTAAAATTTCAAATTTCTTCAAATAGAAATACGAGTAAGCACTACATAATAACTTGAAAGTAAATAGATTATTTTTCCTCAATTTATATCGAGTTCATAGTCATTTAAATAAACATCTAAGTCAGTAGCATACTTTTAAAGAGTAATTTTGTAAAAAGATTATTCGCATTTTTGTTTTTTTGCAACATGATTTGCAGCAGCTTCGATTGGTACTTCAGTATTGGATTGAGAATCCTGATAATCCATAGGCGATTGACATACGCCTATTAGAACTTTCAAATCATAATTAGTCAAAAAACGTAGAATTTCTTGAATGCAAACGGGAGGTAAAGATGAAAAAACATTGTGAAACGAGTAATCAATATCTTGATCCAATATTTCTTTCCTTTCTAAGCACTTTTCAATGCGGCCCTCGAACAAGCGCCTATAAATAGGAAACTTCTCAATACAGGCAGGTGTTTGCAATTGCTTGAAAACATTTTCATTCTTTAATATATTGTTAGCAATACGATGAGGACACTTAGTTAAAATGTGATATACACTAACATTGGTATTGACGAATAAGGTAGTTTTCATCAATTCTACTTCTGCTTCACACATTTTTTTCATCTCATCAATTGTCGTTTTTTTACCTTCATTTTTAACATTCTGATCAATCCATCCATATTTATCTTCAAAATTATACATTGCATATAAATTTTCGTCGCAAACAAACGAATCGATAGCTTGAAGTTGTAAGATATGATTTATAATAATTTTAGCATGTTTACGATAAGTGCGGGTATACCATCCATCAAAGTTTACCGGGTCTATATTTTTCTTACAACGATTACAGTTAGAGATCATAGCTTCTTCGATAAAATCCAGAACAGTTTTATTATCATTCGTTAAGCGATTAATATCAGCACCGATATTTAAGATATTAAAATTAACTTCTTCATTGCTTTCACCCAAATAATGTAAAATTGTTTTTCCAGATAAGCCGGTTCTTAGATCGATATCGGCTCCGTACTTCAAAAGATGATTTATGCTAAAATCATCATTGTTTTTAGCTGCCATAAGGAGTGGTGTCAGTCCTTCTTCAGTAATACAATTAGGATTTGCATTATTAGCTAATAAAATTTTAAAGATCATTCCATGTGAATAGTGCGTGGCATAGTATAGCGGTGTTCTCAATCCTTTGTCGACTGTATTAACGTTTGCACCATGTTGTAACAAAGCTTCAACAGCTTTCACTCGATTTTTATGAACGGCCAATGCAAGTGGGGTCATTTTATACCCATCTTCTGTAAAATCATAATTAATGTATTAAAAAAGAAGTAAATGTTTAATTGAGTGATTGACATAATATAAAATATAATAATAATAATAATCATCGGAAAAGACCTGGAAAAAAATATTAGTTATGAAAAATTCATATTATTTCTTTAAAATTATTATAATATAAAAATTATAATAATTATATCAAACCCACAATTTTCCTGAAAAACAAACACCCCCAGAATGATCGCTCCATTTTTAGTTACAAAAAAAAAAATTATTATTATTATAATTTTTATTTTATAATAATTTTATTGAAATAATATGAATTTTTCATAACTTTAATATTTTTTCCAGGTCTACTATTTTTTACGGGATTCAATAATAATAATAATAATAATAATAATAATAATAATAATAATAATAATAATAATAATAATAATAATAATAATAAATTTATAGATATTTTCTGACGTAAGTTATTAAATTTTCAGTTTATTGACTATCCAGTCTAATACAATAATTTTTTTCTCTAATTTTTCGTAATATTGTTAGCGTGTATTTCCCTCCAGGCATAAACAATTTATCTGGTCTAGGCCGTTAGAATTATTTTTTCAGTAAAATTTATCTTCAACGACAAATTTAGATATAAATTGAGGATAAATTGTTTATGGAGGGAAATGCAGGCTAATAATATTACGAAAAATTACAGAAAAAAATTGTTGTATTAGACTGGATATCCAATAAACTGAAAATTCAATGACTTACGTCATAAAATATCTATGAAGTATTATAAACCAATCTTTAGAAAAAATAAATATTAAAAATAATAATAACCTTCAATCTCCAAATTTTTGAATTCTTCTCGCTTCAGTAGCATTTTTATTATTTCAGGTGTTTTAGACTGAGCCGCGGAGTGAAGAAGTGTCTGCTTTTGATTATTTGAATAATGATCATTGTCAATTGGAGTACTTGGTAAAAGTAATTTAACCATTTCAAGACGCCCTTTGATAATGGCATATTGAAGAGGAGTATTACCACAAAAATCGCGTGAGTTAATGTCAGCTCCTGCTTGTAGTAAAAACGTAGTAAGTTCTTCAATATAATGATAAAATTCATTACGATAATTTTCTCTCGCAACATAGTACAAAGGTGACAGCTTTTCGTATTTTGAATCAACTTCATTAACGTTAATGCCACGATCTACTAACATTTTTATAATTTCAAACCATTCGTTAGAACAACAAGTATTTTTATCGTCCATAAACTTTTCATCGCCATCAATATGTGAATAAAAATTGTAATTGGCAGAATACGTTTTATCATTGCTAGAATGTAAATTTTGAATAGCCCAATATAGTGCTGACTCACCATTATTTGTTTTTTTAACAGTAACGTCAGCATTATTTTCTATCAGCAATTTAACAATATCTGCTTTCTCAGATGAACATGCTGTTATTAAAAGCTTATCTCCTTCTGAGTTTGCAATGTTTGGATCCAAGCCCAATTTTATGAGGCTACTAACAATTGTACTGAATCCATTTTTTACAGCAATGTGAGCAAACTCTCCATCATTAATTTTTTTTGGATCGATAGGAAATTCAGCATCGATCAGCATATTTACAATATTAATAGTTGTTATTCTGTTAAAGTAGTCGTCAGATTTCATCACAGCAGCATATAATAACTGGTTATTTTTAACATCCGCAGTATCATATTTTTTTTGTTCAATAATCGTACGAACCGTGCTCTCATACCCTTTTTCAACGGCTACATGAAAAATTAACGTACCGTCACAGTATTTTAAATCTGCTTCGGCCCCACTCTTTACTAGCAAATTGAAAATCTTCTCATTATTATTTGCCGCAGCCAAATCTATTGGAATAAATTTATTGTTCATTTTTACTTCTGGTTGATCATATTTTAATAACTCTTCAACAATTTCGTCGAAACCGAACTCAACTGCAGTATAAAGTACAGACTTCCCTTTGGAATTTTTCGCCCTTACATGAGCACCTTTGGTCAATAACTTTTTGACCATCTTTAAGTCATTCTTTTTTACTGCTAAGTGTAGTGGTGAATTACAAGGTAGGTTACGTAGCCTATTAACTGGGAAATCGTACTCCAGCAACAATTCAGCTATTCCTCTGTGCTTTTGAAGAGCACTACGAAGTAGTAAGTTTCCATGTTCCTTGTCCAAGGTGCAAAAACCTTTTTCTTTGTCCCTTTTCTTCAGTGATGCAAGTACTACTTTAGCAAGAACTTTATCGCGAGCAAAAATTGTTGCCTTCAAATCTTTAAAAATTTCATCTTCAGGTGGATCTCCAGGCCGAAAAGCTGCCATTGCCTTAGCTATGGTATGATAGAGCAGGAACAAATCAATTCTGAAATACAATCGTTTTTTATTATTGTTAATCATCTTGAAGTTTAATTTGTTTTAATAATAAATTTTTGACTGTTTTTGTTATTGGCAGAGTATTACTAGATAACATTTTTTAAATCAGTATTTAATAATAATAATAATAATAATAATGTGCTAAAATTTTTTTTTTTTAGTTATAAATTTTTCAATAAATAAAATAATGTTTGCTAGCCATAGACTAGCTGATAATTTATAGTTTATAATCTATGAATAAATTATATGTTTTTATTAGATTTCGTAATAATTAAATTTAATTTGTTAATTAACTTTTTTTTTCCTTTTGCGCGGTGAAGTTTGTTTTCTTATTTCTTATATTTATGCCAAAGGTTTTTGAGGTTAGTACTTACTTTTGCGTAGAGATATATAATTTATATTATAATAAATTAAAAAAAAAACATTAAACAAATGATTTTAATTACTTGTCAAAATATATTAATAACAGTTTTAAAAAAATCCAAGCAAAATAAAACAATTACGTAGAGCATTTGCTTATGTAGATGTATCTTTACTTTACGAAATACGAACCCAAAACCCAAATTCGGAAGAAGTAATTTGTCGCTGACGCTTGACGTTTGACGCAGCTTTCAAGCGTCACTTGATGATAATTATTTTTTTTTTTTTTTTTATTAAAATAATAAAATTACAAGGCGTTGGTTTAAACCAATGTAGCCAATGATGATAATTAACAAGTTTGTGGCGGCACGATAAGCTCGGTCACGCCACAGCGACGGGAGCTGCAACTAAACGTGCCTCGACGGCACCCACGGCCAGCAGAGAAACTACCTCAGCAACAGCAGCGCCAAGACCAGTGGTGATCAAAAAAGGACTTACAAGCTCGCGCTACAGGGGTAGACGCGTATAAGTCTAATTACCAAAACAATTATCTAAGTAATCTAAGTACACTTGTTAGATCTCGTTAAACTATTTAAATATTTAATAAATAATATCAACCTGCCAAAGTATATCTTTGTGTTATTTATTTATGTAGTGGTAGTGTAATAACCTCCCACAAGTTAGCATGTATGCGCGCCATCTAGAAAAAAATTCTAGCTTTTATCGTAACATTCGTTCGGTGACTGAATAACATGAATAACAACTATTTCAAAGCAATATCTTGTTGAAGTAAGTAACAAAAACAACAACAAATATCATTGCTGAAACTTCTCAAGTTATCTGAGAATGTCATCGACAGAAGGTTTTATCTTTTTACCCTTTAAAAACCCGTGATTGGTTAAAAATTGCAAATTACTTTGATAAGCATTTTGGCAATTTCCTCATTGCATTGAAACTATCGATAGAAAACATAGACAAATATAGGTATTTACTATTATTTTCATGCACGTAAATTATGATAGTGAAATTAAGAGATATCTGATAAAATTTAGAAATTTTTTGACAAATAAATTATTGCAAGAGAGATTTATTTAAAAAATTCCATTATTAGAAGTTCTAAAAAATTATAAAATTTTTTAAAAATAACTTTTTTAATTTAGTTTATTTTTCAATTAAAATCAACAAATTAGCAAGAGTTTGCGAATTTCAATGTCATCGTAAATTTTATAATAAACTGTTTTTTATAGTTCTATTATTATTATATTAATTACAGTGTCCCAAAACAATGAAGATATTTTGTTAGAATTTAATAGATAGTATTTTCAAGCATATCCCTGGCGGATCTGAAATACCGTAAAATTACGGTATTATACGGTCGATATACCGTATGGTCACCGTAGATTACAGTAGCATTCTACTTGCACGGTAGAAACCGTAAAACACCGTAACGTACGGTAAAGAACGGTGAAAATACGGTATAGAACGGTAAAATTACGGTACAACTACGGTAGTGTACGGTGAAAATACGGTAAAATATATACTTCTGAACTTTCCGCACTACCGTATTCCAATGGTAACCTACCGTCAAATATACCTTATTTTAGCGATAAGTTACCGTACAATTACGGCAAATTACCGTACAATTATGGTACCTTAGCGTACAAAAACAGTACTTTATTTACCGGATAATTAGAGTATTTTACTAACAATTACGGTATTTTACCGTACAATCACGGTATCTTACCGTACAATAACGGTAAATTACTGTACAATCACGGTACTTTGCCGTACAATCTCTGTAATTTACGGTGTCATACTGTATTACGGTAAATCACTGTACGTACCGTACTCTACCGTACCCTACCGTAAATTTGCCGTGCGTACATTACCGTACTCTACCGTACTTTGGATCCGTCAGGGATACTGCTTTAAAAGCAATAATTATTGATTCTAAGTACTCCTTGATACATTTTTTGAATTAAAAAAATTTTTATATTTTATTGTTATTCTTAGTATGAAATCATTTTCAATCTAATAATATTTATCTTCGCATTCATGATACTGAAATTGAAAGATATCTAATTGTTGAAAAAAAATTTTTTTCAACAAATTTATTATAACAAGAAAAACTTATTGAAAAGATTCCATCTTCAGAAACTCTGACAAATTATAAATGTAATTATTTTAATTAAAATTTTTTAAAGAAAAATAAAATAATTGTCAAGTGTCTACTAATTTCAGTGTCATTTCCATTCGTAGATTGCTCAAACATTTTCTAGACGAACTAATAAAGTACGTTGAAGTACGTCATTTTTGTTTCCAGTTTCTAAAATGTTTCCATTTGTCTTCAATTCGCAATTGTTGAGAGAGTATCATCTTTGTTGCATTTGTACGATAAACGGAAACTTAAAAATTAAATTTCTCGTTATTAAAAGAAAAAAAAAAAATTACGCTCTGCTAGCAAGAATATTTATAAATAATCTATCAAATTTCAGAGCGTTTTTTTAGGAAATTTTGATTTGTTTAAAATAAATTTATAAAACAATAATGCCAGAGAACGTCTCTTCAATATATTAGGACATATAATATGGATATAATAATATGCCGATATTGATAGAGAAGATTTCTCTTTTACGACAGCTACAAAAGACGAACGCGGGCATTTCGACCTCATGCTATACGAACTCTCAATCTCCAAGTGAATCACAACTTTACTGTGTGTTTACTTTTTTTACTATGATACTTTGAACTTATCATTTATGATGTAAGTCATCAATAAATGACAAAATTATTGTTGTTATATTATTTTGTGTTTTACATTTGAGTTATTTTATCTGTAATAATAAATAATGTTGATAGTTTTTACATATATTTTTTTATAAGGTTATATTTTGAGTTTATTTTTTTTAAAGACGTGTTGAGAAAATATAAAATATTTATTTTGTTATTATTTAATGAAATGTTATTAATAGAATCAAATCGACTTAACATTGTTAATAGAATTTTAAAAAATTCGAAAAACATTAATTTTTATTTTTTGACAGCACGTAAATCAGGTAATTTTTTTTACTTTTATTTTCAAACAAGTAGTTAAAAGTTATTTAGTTTGTTTTTTGTTTTTGTTACTATTCATTTGATATTCTAATTATTTTTAATTTATTTTTTTATTAATTTCAGACAGTGTCAACGTAACTATAAATGACGTTTCAAAAAAAATAAAACCTGCAAAAAATCCAGAATATATTCCTCAGAAATATTGTAAGTATTTTATCCATTTTTTTTTTTTTTTTTTTTTTTTATAAAAAAAATAAATAATAATTTTTTTTATTGCACAGTGATTAAAAATCCAAGTCAAGAAGTATTAAAAAATTTGCGATGGATAATGCAAAAAGATATTCTCGGCCAAGATATTTTTTTAATGGGTGGACCGGGTCCCCGACGAAGAAATTTAGCTTTATCGTACCTTGAGCTTACAGAGCGAGAGGTGGAATTCATAGCTTTATCTCGAGATACAACGGAGACTGACTTGAAACAACGAAGAGAAATAACTGATGGTACGGCTATTTATCATGACCAAAGTGCAGTTCGAGCTGCAACGCACGGTAGAATTCTTATTCTTGAAGGCGTAGAAAAAGCTGAAAGAAATGTTTTGCCTGTTTTAAATAATTTATTGGAGAATCGAGAGATGCATCTTGAAGACGGTCGGTTTCTTATTTCATCAACTAGATATGATAAACTGTTGGAGGTGAAATATTTAACTCATCAATACAAAGATAACAATACATATCTAATAATTTTTTTTTCTTTTTAGGATCATAGTCAAGAAGAACTTGATGCATGGAAACTTGTTCGTGTTAGTGAAGATTTTCGTGTGATAGCTCTTGGCTTACCATCATTACGTTATCACGGTCATCCCCTAGATCCTCCTCTCAGATCAAGGTTCCAAGCCAGGCATATTGCTCCCCCGACTTTCAAAGTAAGTTTTTTTGAGAGTTTTTAATTTATTCGATTAACATTTTCACAAGAATAATATACAACTATTTTATAATTTTTAAGATTACTCGAATATACTTTATAAAAAAAACTCTTGAATTCATTGCATTGTTCACCCACAAAATTAATAGCTTCCTTAATCAAAAAACTTTTGTAAATTAACTTTTAGTTAAAATATATTGCTAAAGTTTATATTTTATTTTTTTTTTAGATTTTATGCTATGATTTTATCGGTTTTTTTTTTTTTTTTTTTATAAATATTAGCGCAGCAATATTTTTTTTTTACACCTTAGGGCTGCACGCGACATTCAGCTTGAATCTTCTCTGAAATAGTTTTACAAAGACTAGTTTATTTGTAGTTAAAAATGTCACATGACTTCGCATAGCTCGAATGAGTATTGAATTTCTTTTATTCTCACAGAATAATACCTATTTAAAAAAAAATAAAAAACAATTTAGCCGCATACAAGATGATTTAATAATTATGAAGAAGAAATAAAGTATGTGTACCTGTTGGAAAAATTTTTTATGATTTATGTGACTGTCGTGATGTGTCATTACTTCCATGGGACTGAGGGAATCCAGTAGGGGTCACATGTAAGCTTGTGTACTTAAAACATCATCCCCTCCGTGATTGTTTTAACATTGTCGAGGGTATATAAACCGATGCC